AGAGAAGAAGCCAAAAATTAAGGCTGAAATAGTGAAATAACGGTCAAAAAATCAATTTTTTGGGGTTAAAAATCCCTCCCAAACAGGCTGTAAGTTCTGAATGTCCCAGGTTTGGAAATAAGGAAAGAAACATAATAACTGATGGATGTAGAATTGTGTAGATATATACATCCGTATATATTTTTAAACTTGCTTCCTTTGGCTTTCTCTTGATTTTCTCTATTCACAATTACTCTTGATTTTCTCTAGTACATCATTAATCTATGTATAGGCTATGCACGGTTTGCTCATTTTTTTCTCTTACCATGTTCCCAGACACAGAAATGGTTGTAGATGAACCCGCTACAGAACTATCTTCTAAAAAAAGCAAGAAAAAGAAACACAAAGCTGGAGCAAAGGATGACATCGAACCCATGGCAGAGGATAATCTGGCAGCTGTTATTAATGGAGATGCTCCTGAAGAACCTAAAAGTGAAAAGAAGAAGAAAAAGGAGAAACGAAAATTGGCACAAGAGGCAGAGGAGGAAAAGAATGAACCTATGGAGAATGTAAATGGTGCAAATGGATTCAATGCCGAAGATGGAACAGCCAAAAAGAATAAAAAGAAAAAGAGTAAAGATGAGAACACTGAGGATCTTCCCGCTGCAAGTGAAGGTAAAAAGAAGAAGAAAAAGAAATCTAGAAGTGAAGACACCGATTAAATCAAGTAGTTATCTGTATTGGTCAGATATGGGGTGTGCGGTCCTTAGGCTGCTGATATGTTAAAATTCAATTTTGTCCCCCTCCTGAATTTTCAGGGACCCTATCAAACATCTCTATTTATAGCAGTTTCCTTTTTCGGTTCTAGTGTTTTAGGCACAGTATTAGATAATGTTGTCGGTAAATGCAAGATATTGTATTTGCTATTTGGCTATTTGCACAATCAAAAGCATTACCTGTGAGTTTGAAATTTTCCATTGAAATTAACATCATCATTTTAATTTAACCTTCCGGATTGTTCCACTGTTGATTATTTTATTGGGGTGTTATTTTCTTCTTTTGTTTCTTTGTGGTTGTATATTTTTNTTAACCTTCCGGATTGTTCCACTGTTGATTATTTTATTGGGGTGTTATTTTCTTCTTTTGTTTCTTTGTGGTTGTATATTTTTGTTCGTCGGACTGTGTACGTCTTCTCCTCCTGTGTGTGTGTTTGGTAGGGATGCTTGTGGAATTACAACAGATTCCTTCATAGCTTACTTTTGAGATTCATCAGGAAATAGATTGGAGATATTGCGGAAGTAATGTTCTCAATAAGTTAGTCAGTCCACTTGTAGAGGGGCCAAGTCCGATCTCTGGATTGGCTATTACGAATTTCAGCACAGTCCGTCGTGGCCTATTGTCCTGTCCTTCCAGGTGTCGAGCTTATTCTGTTGTGTCCAATGACAGTATGTTGGGCAAGCGTGTATAACCATGCTAGAAATCAAATTGCTTTGATTGGTGGTTATATTACCACTACAAATATTATGTCACACCACATTATAACTACACCTCAAATAAATCTTATTTCTACAGTTAAACAAAACAATATGGGAATGTTTGATTGCCATTTTTAGGTAAAATTGCATTTTAGAATAATAAATTGATCGGAAGTATGTGGTTGAAAAATAAGCAATTTTTTTTTATTTACGTGTAATATTATTTTAATAAAAAATGTGTGGTTAAAAAGAAGAGAAAAAAATATTTTTGAAAAAAATGGATACCAAATGGGGACTATATAAGATTCGAAAAATTACTTTCAACTTGTGGACAAGAGAGACCCGAAACACAAGTACATCCCACGAGAGAATAAAAAGAAAAATGACAAAAAACCTCAACTCAAAATTACAGTCTTCCTCATACAAGTTGTATAAGCCAAGTATACCCCCATTTTATGAATTAAGAGTGCCAAAGGTCCATCACATGATAAAGCAACCATTCGGATTTTCGTCGCTAAACATTTCGAATGAATCCAACGGTTGGGGTGGGTATGAATCAGCATTAAAGGGTGGTGGCTGTGGTGGGTACGAATCGGGAGAGGAGGGTGTTGGTGGCTCGACCTCTCGCCCCGAATATGTATAAACATACGAATGTGGTGGTGGGGTCGAATAGGATGCTGTATAGCTACTAGTTTGGTAAATACATCCCATTAATTATGCAATTTGTCAATAACTCATTTTTTCATTCTCTCCTCATCTCATATCATTCTAATTTTGCCCATGGAAAAAATTTGAAAAATGTTGCACGTACAGAATTTTTTAACAGAAAAATCTTACAAACAACACATAACGCGACATCATTGGAATATTGAAAAAAAGAAAAAAAAAACAGTCCAATCATATTTTGTCACATCAACATCGATACAAATTCTGTTAAAATTTTGCTATACGCATGGCTTTATTGAAAAAACTTCCCTATTTCACTACCACGTGTAAGCCCCCCAACCCCATTAGTTTTGTCTGAAAAATATTTCCCACCCAACCGTAAAACGGCCCCACCACTCAACCCCATTTCTAATTTCTATCATACAGATTTTACCTCACCCACTCTGCTTGTGAGTTAATTATTAGAAGTAAAAAATCATCACATTTTACATGCATTACAAGATCATAATAAAAAGAAGAACAGCGTCGTGAGTGAAAAAGAAATACTGCCAGTGGTTAAAAAAAAAAAAAAAAAAAAAAAAGTTGCATCGTCGATAAAACAGAAGACAAGTTAACTGTTGTAGTGAAGAAAAAAAAGAGTTCAATATCATTTTTAAAGAATGGTTATTATTGTAATTTTACTCAGGGCTATTTAAATAGATTAAATAATTATTTAAAATTGTAGTGTAATAAACGAATTTTAACAATGGACTTTTTAATTGAACCATGCATCAGGGCAAACACGTCATTTCACAAACCATCTGCCTGCTTGAGTTTCAAGCATTGGGAGGTCCGAATTTGCAAGAATATAAGCAAGGAGAATAAAATTCACCATTCATACACCTTTCCGCTCTTTGTTTCGCACACAGACACACAGTGCGGGAGAGATCTACGAGAATGGCGAGTGCATCGTCATCTTCATTGAATTTGGAGAATGTGCCTTCGGTGGATCTAATGACGGAGCTCCTCCGCCGCATGAAGTGTTCGTCCAAACCAGACAAACGCGTCATCCTCGTCGGTCAGTACACTTTTTTTTTTCTTTTTTTAATCTTTTTTTAACCTTTCCACGTTCTTCGTTTTTTTCCTTCTATTTTGGTTTATTTTCGGTTCGGGAAATTTAGAGAGGAGAGAGTTTTAGCCTTTTAGGGTTTATTTGCTAATTACGATAAATGAATGTATTGCGTCAGTTGGTTAAAAGAGATCATTGAATGTATAGTAGAACAGGGTAGTCCTCAATTTTTCATTTAGCTATTTAAAAAAAAAAAAAAAAATTCCAGGCAAAAGAGACTTATGGGATACCCAAAGGTTTATTTGTTAATTACAATAAATGAATGTACGTGAGTTGGTTAACTAAATTAACAGCTAATCTGCACATTTCAATTAGAGATTTAACGTTTTTTCTTTCTTGTTCCTAGACAAAATAGAGACTTGAGAAGCCTTCATTGGGTTTGAGTGTGGTGGAATATAAAGAAAGACGAGTTTTTGAAGATGAGTTGCAATAGTTTGCAAAAGTGCTCTGTGCATAATAAAAGAGGCTGATTTAGTTTTGATTTTTCAATTTTCTAGACAAATTAAGCCTTACTGGGAACCCCAAATATGGAGGGAGAAAGGGGGATGAGGTGGGGGGATAGAAAAAGTGATGAATGTGATATAGGCTATTTTGTTTTGTTTTTGGGCCTTACTATGTCCCTGACATAGTGTCAATTTGATTCATTGATCAAGATTCTGTCTTGACCAATTTTTTTTCTCCTTATCTAGAGGTTGTAACTTTATAGGTAACAGTACTGAATATCAATAATTTTGTTTTAAACTTCTTCTTCTCAGACAGTGCCGCAGTTGAGTTTGTAATAGCATTAGGAAGAAAATGAACAGGAAAATGCTTGTCCAGGAACTATGAGAAATCTCAGCACTTTAGTTTATATTCTTCTCCATTATGGATTCATGCTATTCGTGGCTTGGAAGTGAATTTTTTTTGGGGGACTAGTTCCAATTGAATTAGATTATTTATTATTTATTTAAGGAGGTTCTGTTGGTGCTTCAATGATTTAATTTAATAACTTTTAAGCTGACAGGGGGAACAGTCTCCAATTCACTTTCAACTACTACTCCATCTCTTCATGGAAGGTGCAAGGTTTCTCCCAAACCCACCAAAACTTCAAAAGAAAAAATCAGCCAACGGTCACGTTTATTGGCTTGTGCGTACGCGCATAATAGAACAATTTTTGGTTCTGTTCCTGCTTAATCAAAACGTGCGTAGGCACAGCCAAATGGCCTCTGCGTACGAATAGGCATAATTTATTCCTCTTGATTTTTTTTCTTAAATTCATCCCATCTTTTAATTTTGAACAACAACTTTACAAGAACCCCCCACTTGATTCACTTTCAGCTAATACTCTGCAGTAATTTTTTATCTACAATTTTTGATAAAGGAGCCAAGCTATAAGCTCATGTATATATTATTAACCTTAAACGGTCAACAAAATCATTGGCAAGGGGCCATGCATTATAGTAATTTCGTCCATATCTTTTAAGCGTTGTCTCTTAGTAAACTGTAACTTTGGAGAATAAAATTTTGAAGTTTTCTGTGATGCTGTTTCGATGCTGAGCAACTTTATTCGATCTGCTTTACAGGCCCACCAGGATCAGGGAAGGGTACTCAGTCACCAATAATCAAGGATGAGTATTGCTTGTGCCACTTGGCTACTGGTGATATGTTGAGAGCTGCCGTGGCTGCCAAATCGCCCCTTGGGATTAAAGCTAAGGAGGCCATGGACAAGGTACTTTTTTCCGTCTTTATGATTGCATAAGCCTGCTATAACACCCTTTTTGTATTAATGAATTTATGTGTTTGTCATGGTTTCTCAGGGTGAGCTTGTTTCTGATGACTTGGTGGTTGGGATAATTGATGAAGCGTTGAAAAAGCCTTCCTGCGAAAAAGGTTTCATTCTTGACGGATTTCCAAGAACAGAAGTCCAAGCACAAAAGGTTGTTACTTTTACATGGTATCTGAATGTTCATTTGCTTTTCATTTGTGAAAAAATTTATTCCCCTGTGTATCTTCATATAATGATCTAAGATATTGCTTTGTTTCTTTATATCAGCTTGATGAGATGCTTGAAAAACGTGGTGTTAAAGTCGACAAGGTTCTTAACTTTGCAATTGATGATGCAATCTTGGAAGAGAGGATTACTGGCCGCTGGATCCACCCTTCCAGTGGTCGCACCTACCACTCCAAGTTTGCGCCTCCTAAAGTACCTGGTGTTGATGATGTAATACCACATTACTTATATTTACTCTCTTATTATGCAAATGCAAAATGTTTGCCGCCTGTTGTGGTTATGATGTCGTGTGTAGCTTCACTTTCTGCTGCCGCATGGGTGTAATGATCAATCATAATTCCAGGAATTAATTAAAAGTCAGAGAGAACAGAAATGCAAGAAGCTAGGACGGACAGAACAAAATAAAGCAATTTTTGAAATTTCTTCTCCTGGCCTTTTTCCTGTGTTAGGTTAGAAAGGTAGATATGAAAAGTAAAGGAAATTAAATTATATTATCTCCTCTTTCTCCCTCCAGTGGAACATAAATGACCGTAAGTTACGTATTTGTAGAGCTAAATTCACCTTTATATAGTTGGGACTTGTTGCCTCAGTGCAATTGGTGGTGCTTTACTGCTTTATATAGTAGGGATTTCTATTATTAATGAAGCTGATTTCATCTGAATATCTTTGTGAAGGTCACTGGGGAGTCTTTAATTCAACGTAAAGATGACACTGCAGCTGTTCTCAAGTCAAGGCTAGAAGCTTTCCATAGGCAGACTGAACCGGTATGCTGTTCTTCTTGTGATATTCTTAGCTTTTTTCCCTTCTGCTTTGGCTTCCTCGCACCCACTCAGGAGGAATTATGTTAGCGAACTTTCTTTTCAAGATTAAAGCTGGAAAAATGAAGTTACAAAGATTACACCTTACCCTACCACTAGTGTCATTTACCATTATGCGCCTGTTATACTATATCAACTTAAATCGAGGTTAATTTAGTTTATTTTTAATTTTTCTACCTCCAAAATTTTTCGAATCTGGGGAAAATAAGCTTGCTGGGAGTTTACCTGCACGATTGTTAAGTACCACTCTGCTCTACATCTTTCCCACTTCCTCTTCCTCCTCCTCTACGTCCCCTGATGTTAGCCCTTTTCCAAGAACTAAGCAAGTTACAGATATTTGTAACTTTAAATGGTAAAACATGTCCTGTTCCAGAACTAGTTGGTTTGCAGTTAGTCTAGCACTGGCCTCATTAACTGATTAAAAAAGAGACCCACAGGGACTGCCAACAAAGACAATCAACATGTCACTGTTGATTCCTGTTAAAATGCTTCAATAAAATTGAACTTGTTATACAAAGAAACAGGGAATAGAAATAAATATTTGCAGGTAGCTAAACCTGAATTATCACACATCTAAGGTGACCTTGGAATGTTTTCCTTTTATCGGATTAACCAATTCCGTCAACATTGAGTGACAAACAGTTTCTTTGGACAGGTTACTTTTTACTTGCGTATATTCCAACTTCGATTTTCAAAAAGTATTATTTATTCTAGAACTTAAGTATTTACTTGCTAGTAAATTTTTAAGCTTCAGCCAAAATATGCCCTGAATGTCAGCATTCCCGTTTTGAAATATCATTACTTACCATGTATGGTTTTACATGCTATGCCTATATTGAATCGAGAAATCATCATGTCACTTGGATTCATGTATTTTATAACATAAATCAGTCTTCGAGTCCCCTGCATATTCCAGTTGATATACAGAATTTCTCTCTGTTATTTTGTCGAAGCCATAGTTGTGTACTGAGGCTTTTATTCTTGAGTACCACGTGAATTCTGTGGAAAGTTACTCCTTTCTTTTTCTTGTAATGCAGGTTATCGACTATTACAATAAGAAGGGTAACGTTGTAAACCTTCCAGCAGAAAAACCACCTCGGGAGGTGACAGCAGATGTCAAGAAGGCACTCTCCTGATGAAAGGTTCCCCTTTTTTTGACTGGACCTAGATATTTGAACTTGGGATTTGGTCCATGTTTTCTGATGCATTGTTAAATTACTGATGAGGGGCAGCAAGGCTTTGTGGCTGTTGCTTGCCTAAAACACCAATCGTTGAGATGTTTCAACAAGTTGGAAAATAATTGTTGACAGGGCCTTCTAAAAGGCTAAAGTTGGCTGTTACTGAACTTTATTTTCTCTCTGTCGCTGAAGTAGGTCGTTGAGCTTAGAGCTTGTTTGGGAATAATTTTAAGAAAATCATTTTTTTTCCCAAAATCGCCTTCAGCCGCACACTTTGGGGAGTACTAGTTAACAAATATGGGGGTTAAGCACGCGATTAATGAGACATCTCAGTAAGGTAGAGTAGTAGTTAACAATTTATAATGGTTACCACTGCCAAACATATCTTCACATTCGGAAGACGAGGCTTGTAAGAATTGACACATCCTAGGCCTAGGGCTGCTGGCTTTAAACTTTCACAATGCAAACATGTTCAATCACACAATTCTTCTGTTAAAAGTTACTTTTGGTTCAAGTTACTTTCACAATGCAAATATTTTGGGGACAATTTCTACTGGGTAAGACTCCTACAACGGCTCTAGTTGATTCTCCTTAAGATTTGTTGTCTCGTCCGTCTAAACTCGGTGTCTCTTCATTCTATCACGTTGAAACTCGTCCTGTTCATCAGTGTTTGTCGGGTACCTGTGAGATGGAGCTAATGTATTGATCCTATAGCTAAGATCCATTATCTCGGTTGACCTTGTGAGAAAAAGTAATTGGCTTTGCATTCTATTACGTTGATACTCAATCTATTGATCTCTGAATCTGCCTTTCGGGCTCCTCTTGTTTGTTATTTGAAGGGAGAATATACAGTCGATTCGAGTTTGATTGAGCAAAATGAAGCCATGAACAAGACGACGAAACTTTTCCATTTCCAAGTAGCACCAACACAAGTAATCCGTACTGCCTCTGAACAAATTCATTCAAAAAAACAATCATTTTTTGCAAATAATCTTGCATAGAAACAACTCATTTTGGTTGAAAGACAATCAGTTTTGCAAGATGGTTTTTGAGAAATGTCGTGATAGATACGTAAAATGAGCGTGTGCAAGTATCAAACTGCAGCAAAATCGCATATCAAAGAACTGAAAGATCTTCCAAACGACACCTAGAGCGAGGGTGAACTGAAAGATCTTCACGACACCTAGAGCGAGAAGAATACAAAAGAACCAAAATTCAAGAAAAAAAAAACAAGAGGGGGGGCACAGGCAACAAAAAGGCTGTCAACGACATTTGGGTTATTACATGACACAAAATCCAGTTTATCAACTTCAGAAACAGTTAAAATTTATCCAAACTAAAAACAACATTGTTAAAGAGTGCAAATTCTTAACAAATCCCACATCCTAGATGTCCACAGTGATTTTTGCATCCAGTTGCGAGAATTCTTCATAGAACGCCTTGAAGTGCTTGTATGAATGCTTAACATCATCAACAGCACACATTTCTCTAATGCTGTGCATCGACAATTGAGGAGCTCCAACGTCAACTGTGCGGATGCCTACACCACTTGCCAAAATGGGACCAATGGTTGACCCACAGGGCATGTCGTTGCGAACCACAAAATCCTGCAATTTGAATTCATCGAAGTAATATACAATTCACTACAAAATCCCGTCAATGAGTAAAATGTATGAAATGCATAAAAATTTCCTTTTTCTCTTGTATAACAAATTGCTTATCTTGCTTGATTTTCCTTGTTCGACAATAGTGGTGATCAATAGAATCTAACGAGGACATAACTAATATCAACATGTTCTGAAAGCATATGCATTTAAAAACATTGTTTGGGAAGTGTTTATGAACTGTTTAAATTATAAACAGATAAAAATGAGTAGTAGATAATATTTGAGGGTCCCTCGAAATGTGTGGATAAAAAGTAACTTGAATATTTACAAACAATTTATAAACATGACCTAAACATAGTCTAAGATGGGATAAGGACCCAAGTACCAAATACATGGAGGAATGAATGATGTTCAAGAAATGTAAAATTTAAGAAATGTGATTTGGTACTTGTGTAAGTTCTGATGTCTCATACGACATATAGCTAGCAAATAATTTGAGGAATGCAAAATTGAGTGTTCTAGAAAGCAATGGTCTATTGACTGTCGGTTCATATTCATGTGATTTATTAATGAGTATCGACTAAGATGAATGACATCAGTTAATCGGGTTAAAACACTATTAGTTACCCAATTTATACCGCTGTTTCACTCTAATATTTTTGTTTTTCCAAATTAATTGCCAAACTTTCATTTCTTTTCCAGTTTAGACATTCCGATTGCTTAACTAAAATACTAATGTATTTTCTCTAGACCATACATGTACTACATTCATATATACTACTATTACGTTTTCTGTTCTCTTGAAAAAGCACATTGCAAAGCACAACCAGTCCGATAAATTGCATTTTTATCCAGCTGGACGATAAGATGTGCTCATAGATTGTTCACTAATTTAACACAGAATACCTAAAAGTAAACGAAAAAGAAAATAAAGTGACTAATATAAACCAAAATAAGTTAGGTGACCAAAGTGAAATAACAATATAAAGTTGGGTAAATAATACTGTTTCTGACCCTCGGTTAGTCTTCAGGTTCTGTTATGGTTGTTCGGATATGAAACCATGGTTCAGACGCTCAAAGAAAACAATTTGGCTAAGTGATATTATCAATTTTATCATAACTTAATGCTTATCCGTTTCTTGTTATCAATTAATCAAAACAGTTTAAAAATCTTTTACTATTACAAACCTGTATAGGAAGACCGTGCTTGGTTGCTATCTCCCGGAATACGAAGGAAGTAACCGCATTGGTTGCATATCGTTGATTTGCATTGTGCTTAATGACGAGCCCACTGTGCATTTTAGGTTGATGGTTCTCTTCATGTTTGTCCTGATAAACGAAAATAAATCATCATAATGCAGAAGATAGTCAACACAAAATTCTGGTAAATGGAGGCATTACACATACCATATAATTAGGATGCAAGGCATGAGCCATGTCAGCTGAGACCAGGAAACTCCTCTGAATTGATTTTGGTAGCAACTGTATGACAATCAAATTAACGAGAGATAACAGCGGATTAGCCGGGGAAAAAGGAAAATCTAGTAAAATAACTTAATATTAGGTAATCTAGGTATTCCAAATGCAGTGGCGCCTCATAGAATCATCAGAAATTATGTTAATGGAATCTAATAGTGAGACTAAGTCACTAAAATCAGCTATTAGTTTTCAGAGGACATTTCCACATGAGAAGCTAATGGTCAATCAAAAAACCAGTAAATGTAGACGCTTCGGTTGAGTGCCTGTACCATTTATAAAATTAATTCATTACCACTTCATCGACCATCTACTGTTTTCCCCCGGATGAACTTGTTTTTACCTCCTTTTAAAAGATAAGACATTTTATGATAGAAACATCATACTACACATACAGAGCCAGAATCCCCTAATATTTGGACTAACATAATATTTAATGCTGACAGTGACTACCCAATAATGAATCGAATTAATTACTTGAATAATGCCACATAAGTTAACTTCAGTCGCCCAAGTTCATCAAGAAAAATGGGAAACAAAACAAATAAATGTTGGGTTTTGACCTGGTAATTTCAGTTGCAATTACCGCAAAATACGCAAGAGAATACAGGTCTACAATAAAATAGACGCTAAAAGCTATAGACCCTGTTTGACAAAGTTTTTGAGATTATAAGTTGATAGGTCCTATGAAATGTATGGTTAAAAATGAAGTTTGACCAACTTATAACATCAAAACAGCTTTGTCAAACAGGAGCATAAGAGTTCTGATTCATTTAGGATGATATGTTTCAACTTAATGAGTGGATCATCATATTTCTTTACTTAAGTTTCGGCTTTTCAAGGTGAGTTGACTTTCAATAACTTTCTAAAAAAGTTGGCCAATCAGCAGAATCTCTTTCAAATTTAGCAGTGTAGGAAATGAGGAAATTGCTTCACATTTGAGAAGATTTGAGAAAACATTAAAGGTGTGCACTGCTTAAAAAAAACAATTAAACACCAATAAGATAAGTCGAGCTAGAACAATAAAGTGACATGAACCTATTGGTACCTTTGCATCTGAGCTAAAGGAACTTGTTATTCGTGATAAAGCATCAAACATGACAGGAGATCCAGCTCCTTGTGCTGAAGAGGATCCAACTTCCTCGTGATCGAACAAGGCCACCATTCTTACACCAATCTCATCTTGGAGACTACTTTCAGAGGAGGTCGATTCGATCAATGCCTGAAATGAAAAGCAAAAAGAAACAAAAACAAAATGAACTGCTGATGGGAAGAGACAGCTCTCCTTCATATGCATTCAAGCTGCAGTGATAGTTTAACATCGATAATAATACAGACTGATGATGCCCAATATATACTGATAAGATTGAGATTAATCAATCACTCACTCATCGTAAAAAAACTACTCAAACCTATTTTATAAAAAGGACTAGTGTGCAAGGCAAGAAGGTATGACAATATGTACTCCTCTCTTTCTGACTTGATCGTCGGTAGGACCTCCTAAACATTCTCCTTTGCTATCTTTTATTCACTCATATGAGAGCCTTGTGAACGGGAAGGCAAGAGGAGCCCCAGCACCAGCCTCGACTTTGGTATTTGTGGTGTCAATTTTTGAATGAAATCATATGCGATTTAGCTGAAGAAGATAAACAGAAATTATAGGCTCAACAAAGCCGGCTCCAGGTATTATATTGCCTAATAGCTAACATTCATATATGTTCATCTTTACAGACTTAGCATTGTAAACGCCAGAAGTACTTCAGTAATGCCTGTTCTAGATTAATATCGACTATGTTCCTCTATTTTATATTTCATTTACTGGGTAAGCATTGATAAGAATTCAGAACACAGAAGGAGACTTGACCAGTCTATGCAATCAACTTAAAAAATGATATGACAATTGCAGGCAATGAGAAGGCAGGGAAAGATGTCGAATTCATGCATATTGCAGCCATAAAACAAAAGAAGAATACACATAATTAAGATAGGACTTGAACCTAATTTGGTATCAATGCAAAGAACCAAAGAAAGGGAAATAGATTTTGACATGCAAACCATGTTAACATATCTTGAACTGAATATATCAGGAAATTGACATAACTGACCAACAAAGTTTACATAAGCTCGTGCGCACACA